GTATCCATACGGAGGAAAGTTCCTTCAGTGAATCCCCTGTGAGGAAGACAAGGACAATTAGTGACCTTTATAATTCCACGGAGGAAGTTAATATAGACGAAGAAGAACTATATGGTAACCTTTGTCTCTTTGCAGGATATGATCCCATAACCTTTGAGGAATTTGATAAGCCTCAAAAGAAACAAAATGGAGACATGCCATGGAGGAGGAGATCTGATCCATCAAGGAATGAAACAAGACTTGGGAGCTCACCTCACTTCCATGAGGTCATAAAGCCATTGGAGTCAAATGGGTGTATAAGACAAAAACAAACGCAAATGGAGATGTGGAGAAATATAAGGCAAGGCTTGTCGTGAAAGGATACAAGCAAAAATTCTGGATAGACCACGAAGAAGTCTTTGCACCGGTGGCTCGGCTTGAGATAATAAGATCACTCATTTCACTTGCTGCTCAAAAGAAATGGAGAATTTTCCAAATGGATGTAAAGTCAGCATTTTTGAATGGCAATCTTGAAGAGGAAGTTTATGTTGAACAACCACCAGGATTTGTCGTCAAAGGAGAAGAAGAAAAGGTGTACCGATTAAAAAAGGCGCTCTACGGGCTAAAACAAGCTCCAAGATCGGGCTAAAACATAGCTGCCAGAGCTGTGGAAGATTCCAGAATCGCGATGACTTTTATTCTATAGTGGTTTTTTTGCTAGGGTGCCCGCTTGACGAGCATTTCCTTATACTGTAAAGAATAAACTCGAATGGAGATTTTGCTTGTGTTTTAATACTGTAGATGATTTGGTTTCAACAGCAATAGTAAGCAATAGTCCCTCTATGATTGGAGAATTCAAGCACTCCATGGAAAAGGAGTTTGAAATGACCGACTTGGGCCTTATGGCTTACTTTCTCGGTATTGAGGTAAAGCAAGAAGAAGAAGGGATATTTATCTTTCAAAGTAAGTATGCCAAAGAGATCTTAAAAAAATTTTCTATGGAGGATTGTCAACCAGTTGATACTCCGGTCGAGTATGGAGTTCGAATTACAAAAGAAGGAGAAGGGAAGTTAGTGAATCCAACTCATTACAAAAGTCTCGTAGGCTGTCTACGTACTTGACGTGTACTCGACCTAATATACTCTTTGGAGTTGGTTTGGTGAGCAGATACATGGAAACTCCAAAGACCTCTCATTTCAAGATGGCGAAAAGAATCCTAAAGTACATAAAAGGCACACTTGACTACGGGCTGTTTTATTCCTCAAAAGAAAGCATGGAACTTGTCGACTTCAGTGACAGCGACTAGGCCGGAAGCATTGATGACCGCAAAAGCACATCCGGATATGTGTTCTACCTTGGAGGTACGACATTTACTTGGTCATCTAAGAAACAATCCGTTGTTGCATTATCTACCTGTGAGGCAGAGTATATTGATGCATCATCATGTGTTTGCCATGCCATATGGCTAAAAAGATTATTGGAGGAGCTCAGAATGAAACAAGGAGGACCGACCAAGATCTATGTTGATAATAAGTCAGCAATTGCGCTTGCGAAAAATCCAGTCCATCATGAAAGGTCCAAACATATTGATACTCGATTTCATTTTAATACTCCGATTTCACCTTTATTCGAGAGCATATCAAGAAGAAGGACGTAGAGCTCGTGGCATGTAAAGACCAATGATCAAGTTGCTAGACAATATTGACTTTCGAAAAAGGGGTCTTCTGAAGACTGATATGTTTCAGTACTTACAAGCTTGCTTCGGTATCAACACGTAATTGAAGAGACAAGGTTAGGGGAGGAAACGATACGAAAAATAAACTTGTCTTAGCTACTGGTTGGTGAAAGCATAGTCAATGGATGGTGCCTAACTTGGACTAAGGTGAGTAAAGTCTTGGTTGGTGAAAGTATAGTCAATGAACGGTGCCTAACTTGGACTATTATTGGAAAGCTACCAAAGTGGATTTAACACACCAATCATATTGCCTATATATACATGTAAAACACGAATGAATAAATTAGATATAGAGAGATTAGTTTTCTCTTCTATGTGTGTGAGTTTATAAAAAAAAAAAAAAGAGTGAGTTGTGAGTGTGTCTCCCTTGTAATATTATTCCATAATTGAGTGATTATATTTAAGTATTGTGATTGTTCATAATTAAGTAATTTATATTATTGCTAACAGATTTATAGACTACCATTCTTTCTGCATTTGACTTGATCTTCATTGTGAAACAAATTTTATCTCTGCGAGAGGTAAATTAGAAGACAATTCTCAAACCAATCATGAATAAAGAAGATATCTGCAATTCCTGTTTGAAAATTGGTTTAAGTTGTATTCGTTACTTTTTATAGCCTGAAGCAAGTAGGGATAAAAGGGTCAAAGAGCACAACGTTATAATGGTTCGGACACATTACAAACCAAGTAGGGTGAGCTCTTAATACACATAGGCCTTTAAAGAAAAATCTCACTAGAAAGGCTCATGTACAAGGGGCATTGTTGACGCCAGCCCAATTGCAGGCCGAAGATTAGAGCCCATGCAGATAATGATCAAATCACGTAAAGAGGGAATTTGGAAGTACGGTAGATATTCTAGAATATTCATTTTATTTGGAGTCACTCCTCCAACTTGTATAAATATGAGAGACACTGTTATAAATAACATGAAATCTTAGAGATGCTAATTTGAATGAGCTAGCATTTACTCTCTCTCTCTCTCTCTCTCCTCATTTTTTCTTCTCCACCCAATTTTTCTATTTTCTCTCAATCCTCTCGCCTAGTTATTCACTTTTCTAGTTATTTTCTCTCAATTTTCCTAAAGTGATATTTTCTATTTTTTACTTATTTAACTTAGGTGTTGATTGTTTTGGATTAAGTTTTTTGTTTTTGTTTTTTTCCTTAAAAATAACAAAACTGGTTTAATTTTTTTTCTTTACTTTTTATAAAACTGTTTTTTAAAACAAAATCAAATTTTATATAATAGTTTTTGTAATTGTGTTTTCTGTTTTTATTCTACATTTCTCATTTTTTTTCATTTTTTATAAGACTTGTCCTCATAAAGTTTTCATTATTGTTATTACTATTATTATTATTTTCTCTATCCATATAAATCTAATGTCATTTATTTATCCAAAATACATGAGCATTAGTTTTATTATCTCTATTAAAATTCTACTTTATTATCTCTATTAAAATTCCTACATTTTTCCATCCTTCTCTATTTAGTATTATTTATATTATATTAATTGTTTTCTCTGAGTCCAATAATACAATCTTATCAAATTTAGTTTATTTATTTATTAAATATGGATATTATAATTTTTATTTCAATGATTGTATTCATAATACATCAATAGTTAATTTAAACTTTAAATTTAGAAATTAAGAGTGTGAAATATATTTTAATTATTTTATCTAGATTGTTTTTTTTTAAATTTTTATTATTAAACTAAAAAAATCTTTAATGGCTTAATAAGGGAGAGATTTGATAATTGGAAGGATTTTTCACATCATGAACTAAAAGAAAGGAAAAAATAAATTTAGGAAAAAAAAAACTGTTTTGAGAAATAAGTAACCACAAACTGAAAATAGTTTTATGTTTCTAATAAATAAAAAATTAAAAACAAACAACTGTAACAAACGGGATCTTATTAGTTTTATCAAAATTCGTTAAAACCATTTAAAATTTAATTTTATTTAAGGAAAACAGAAATACATTCATTGTTTATTATTGGAAAAAAAAAAGAATTTAAAACAGTGTATTTTTTAGTAAATAATCAGTCATAGAGGTAATTAATCGTTCATATAATCGTTTATGACAATACTGTTACGTGGCATTTTGAAAATAAAAAGTGTCAGATAGGCTATAAAAACAATGCTTTTCATTTTTTCATTATGTCATGTAAAAGAATATTTAACAAATGGCATAAATTTAATATATTGATTAAACAAGATTAAATTTATTAATTGTGCTCTAATAAATTATCATATATTAAAATTATACTCTTAATCATATAATATTTAATTTAATTACAACTATTATCAAGAATTTTATAATTATAATATATATCAATTTTATAATTATAATTATAATTCCAAACTAAACCTATATTATTTAGGAGAGATGTGAGTGTATTGTATTTATTGAATTTTGTATAATTTATATTTGAATTAAAGATATTATAAATTTACATAAATAAAACTATCAGCTGGTGCATGTATTTTATTAAAATTATACTCTTAATCATATAATATTTAATTTAATTACAACTATTATCAAGAATTTTATAATTATAATATATATCACATAAAACCTATATATATTTAGGATGAGATGTGAGTGTATTTATTTATTGAATTTTATTATTTATATTTGAATATAAAAAGATATTATATTACATATAATAAAATATCACTGGTGCATGTTATTTGTTTTTGTTAAATTATTATGTCAAGGATATTTAAAGCAATAAAGACAAGTAAATTTTTATTTAAAAATTATTCCAAACATAATTGTAGAATTCAATTGAATTCTTTACATCAAATTATGACATACCAAAAATAAAAAATTTATTTACAAATGAATTTTACATCCATGGTTCATTTGTACCTAACATGGTAAAAATGTCAAAATCCTATTCAATATGTCACAATTTTGAAAATAAAAAATGTTTAGGACTTATATTATCAATTAATATAAATTATAGACTTTTAAATCTTGAACATTTGAGTTTTAACCTGTCAATTAACACCTAAATTTTGATAAGTTTTACTTCAAATTCATGCAATTCATCATCGACTAGCAATTCGCTAACCTTTGTTTATTACAGGCCATGTAGATTATTCATTGAGATTCAATTCAGAAGGCAGAAAATGATCATTTTACTTTCATCTGATCCATTATTACATTTGTGTTCTACACGAACAATCTTATTAACAATATCCCTTCACCCAGGATATCTAAACAGTTCTAAGACAACAACCTTACTGAAGCACAATAAAGAACACGTATGAATTGAAATCAAGCATCAGCCCAGGTAACTTTCGTCCATCCCCATTCATCATCACTTTCTTTAAAACCTAAAGCTTTCCAAACTGCTTTCGAGGCATCAACGATGTTATTCAAACATCCCCTATTGGAGTCACACTCATCCACTACCTTAGCCTTAACAGTCCTTCCATTTGCATGAATTTTAATGTGATGGTGACACCTCTTCCCCTTATTGTACCATCCAGTGGACAATGCCACAATTGGCGTATCGTTGTCATGGTACTTACCATCACATTCCGATGGGCCACCGCCATCCCCGCCCTTCTCGAAGCTGTTGATGGTTAAAATGGCTGGTGTATGCTTGGTCACCGGCGGTGAACGTTTATGGGCAGTGTAAGATTTGCGTTCCTCGCAGCAATCAGCACCGTTACTTTGGTCACATTCATCGTGTTCCCTCACTTTTCTACTTGGCTTGCATTTTTGTGCCTCAACCATTATAGTAGCTGAAGCAACAAGAATTAAGAAGATTAAAAGATAAGTAAAGCTAATATGAATTTGCTTCATTTTGTTGAGAATTTAGATTGCTTACTAGTGTTAATGCTTAGAGCTAGTATAAAGAAGATGCTTAAATGGTGACTATAAATAGAAATTCTTGGGGCCAAAAGGGTAAATCTTCAGCTGAAATTACAAGAACAATGTGTCTTATGGTATTTTATCATTTTTGGTAATTTTTTGTAGTAGAAATCAATGTTAGAAATACGATGATTTCAGTTATTACAAAGTATAGAAATTAACCATATCAGTTTAATAAATGTTTACAAGGCCTTTGATTGACTAGACCATTATTATATTGGAGATAATTTTTTGGCATGTACGATATGGTTCATAGAATGGTTCGATTCGGCAGAGTAGAGGATTTATGGTATCTACAGAAATACACTTGATAACAAAAGTTGTGGAGCAGAAAATTCTTAATAAATGAAAGATTTATGAATTCCAAGAGTAGCCTAATTAAGAAGTGTTAAGTGTTTATTAACATTCAGTGTTATTTCTAACTTAGGATTTATAAGTCTGAAAACAAATAAATAATGACAGTATAAGGAAGGTGGCAGTAATAATGAGCCAACATAGAAGACAAAGCTATTTATAAGCCTGCAGAATTTTCTATCATAAAAGAATTAGGTGAATTACGGGTTATGGCTCAATTGATAACGCAGACTGAGGATGTGGGAAGAGTTATCGAGTTCTATTCCCACTAAATACACCTGTAGAGATGAGCGAAGAAACTTAACTGTGACTAAACCTCAAACTGAATTAGGCGGTCCCTAACAATATGGTCCAGATATCGGACAAACAAGTAAAAATTGGCTCCAACTATAAAATGATACAATTCAGGATTTTATAAATGATTTATAAATGTTATTGTTTATTAACATTCAGGATTTTTTCTAATTTAGGATTTATTAATCTGATAAAAACAAATAAATAATGACAATGCAAGGAAGGTATTAAATTAGGGTATCTTTGTGCTATTAAATTAGGGTATGTTTGTGGCAGTAAATGGCAATGAAAACATAGAAGACAAAGCTATTAAATTAGGATATCTTTGTTGAGTTAATTATAATGGAATGAAATATAATATTAAATGTGTTTAATATTCCTTCCGTCTCAAAAAGATAGTCTACTTTCTATTTTCACAAGATTAAAAAATAGCAGTTATTTTGTTTAAAGGATAATCTTATTTATATAACTTTCCTATTATACTATCTTAAATAACATATGAGCAATTATTATATTGGAATAATAAGTAAGAATTAATGAGAGATATTGAAAATAAGATAAAATTTCAAAAGGGTATGGTAGAGAATTTAAGGATTAACTAGAATCAAAAAAAGAAAAGTGGACTATATTTTGGGAAAAATCAAAAATGAAAAATAGACTATCTTTTTGAAACGGAAGGAGTATAATATTTATATTCATAATTAATATGTTTCGTCTTATTGATAGCTTATTAGAACTTCAGCTCATTTGATCAAACAACAATGGAATAAGTTTGTTTGTTTGAACTGAATTAACAATTGTTTATCTGAATTTACATGCAAGCTGAAATTTGTATGAATCATTTTTTTTAAACAAAAAAAAAACCGATTCAATAAGCTATATGATTTATTTGGATGAACAAGTAAAATTGACTCCTACAACTATAACACCATATACCATACTCTTCTAATATATAAAAAAAAAAACAATTGACTCTTGTAATTAAAAAATGACATGACATGATATATCATTGTTCTCTTAACATAAAAAGACAATTAAATTACCTTCATTTATATGTTTAGTTTTGTTAACTTTCAATGTAATTTTTTATTATTAAGTATTTAGAATATTAAATATGAAAAAAAAAACTTACTAGATGACTCAGATATTTTATTTACCAAATCATCTAAATAATTGAATAATTGGCTAACAAATGAATACTTAATTTTTATATCATCTAAAAAAACTATATGATCGCGCATATTGAGAAATAGACTAAATTAGATCATGAAGTGCATGCAATGATACAAAAACCAATTGCTTAAAGGGAAAATTATAATTTTTATCTTGTATTCTCATAATATATAATATTATTCCTGTATTTTTTAGAAATATATAGTTTTTTTTTTCATCTTTTCCCTTCATTATTCTGTTATATATATGTCCTATTAACATTTTATACTTTTTTCGTTAATAAATTACTATTTTATCTCTATACTTTGTCAAAATTAACTATTTTATTTTGTATTTATAGATTATTTTCTTCCTGTATTTTTTAATGTTAATTATTTGTTAATTTATTTGATGGAAAAGTATCAAAATTTGACAAAATGATATAACAGTATAATGGAGTAAAAAATAGGGACAGAATTATATATTTTTAAAAATATAGGGGCAATATTATGTATTTTGACACAATGTCAGGATAGAATAATAATTTTCCTATATATAATTACTTGCCTCCTCGACGCAAAAGCACCAGCACTCTTCTTACATTATCCATTTGTTAGAAAATAAATAAATAAATATGTTAGGAAAAATAAAACGAATTCCAAAAGTCCCCATAGTCAAGACCACAAGCTCCTAACCAAACCAAACTATCCATTACTTCACCTTATGAGAAGCTGTAGCTACTTCTCCTATCAATGGCAATATCTTCGCTTTCTTTGAGCTGGGTTTCAACAATCTTATCCCAAAAGGTGCCATTGTTTGTCTCCTCTATACATTCGATCTATTCTTGTTTTCATGGTCACTGCTGTTCTTTCTGAGCAAATTTGTACAGAGAATCAGTTTTTTATTTCTCTTTTTTCCAGTTAAATGCCCCTTCCTTATATGAATTGCCTCGGGCCATTTCATTAGCTGGTAACAACTCTGTTACGTGCACTGCAGAAGCAACCTTAACTGGAGAAAGTAAGATACCCATTTAAGTTTCTCTTTACTTACAATAAATTTATCATTTATTATATCAGAATTCTGTTGATGAAATTGAATTGGATAATGTGAATTTTTCAAACCAAATAGGTCGTTTTCATCATTATCCCTTTTGATTTCTCTCACTCTTTTTATTGCTTGCACTTGAATACCATATCAAAGAAAATATGCTAAAACTATGAACTAATTTTGGAATAATGAGTAAATGAATTTTGATTTTGTATACAAATAATTTCACTTACATAATCAACTTTTTGTGCCCCTTATGTGATGATTCAAAATCCCAATCTATTGTAGGCAAGTGCAGGAGACAATTGTTACTATTGGGAGTTGGAGCACTGACAACAAGTTTACTCCCAGCAAAGCCCCTTCTTGCTGAAGGTACAGTATACTGGTCTATCTTCAATTACATTATGGCAGTCATCTAAATTTTGAGGATACAATACTTGCTTAACCAGATTCATATTCATATAGCCGCACCTTATAACACCCTTCTTACTTTTTGGTGTTGTGTAGAGGTACCAAAGAACTATAAAGCTTTTGTTGACTCAAAAGATGGATATTCATATTACTACCCCTCAGATTGGATAGTAAGTTATGTACTAATTATATTAATATGGAAATGTGTTCTTTTAGCAGTTGAAACTTAGAACAGTCTCTTTTCCATTTCTTAGGATTTTGATTTCAGGGCTCATGATTCTGCCTTTAAGGACAAAATCCTGCAATTGCAGAATGTTAGAGTGAGATTTATACCGACTGATAAAAAAGATATTCATGATTTGGGACCAATGGAACAGGTAAAAAGAATCATAATGTTGCTCCTATTTTGAATAATTAGTGTCTAAATATTTCTTGACCAGATATTTAATTCTGCAGGTTATATCCGATTTAGTGAAACATAAGTATGCTGCACCAAATCAAGTTGCAACTATATTTGGCATGCAAGAGGTTGATACTGAATATGCTACTACTCTATATCTACTATGATAGATTTTGGCCAGTTTGACATTGCTACTACTAATAGCTGTTTCTAAGTTAAAAATGAGAAAAATCTCATGAGTTGATGAGTAATCAATTCTTGCAATTCTGCTTCCATTGGACTAAAACTGATTTTGGGGAAAAGTTTCAAATATGAGCTTTTCTCAAAATCAATTGTAGTCCTAATTTTGTAGTCCAAAATATGTTAGCAATAATAATGCTAAACAAACCTTACTATCTACTTAAACTCAAAAACTCTTAATTCTTGCCTATTGTCTAACTGTCCTTTGATGCCATTTATGAACAAAGACAATTAGTAGCCAAAAATTCCAAATTTTGATTTCAATAGCCAAAAGAGGAAAACACAGCTCAAAAGAAATTACCATCTGATTAGTTAATTGTATATATGCATAAATATGGAATTCGATTAAACATGTGTGTTCTTATTTTGTGTTTTGAGTAAATGAACATATAATGGATATTGGAACAAAGGATTCACATAGCCGATCCCAAGTAGTTTGGGACGAAGTGTTTGAGTAAATAGAATGACTTTTATGACTATCTACCAAATGCAGAGATCTGAAGATGGGAAAAACTATTACACTGTTGAATATCAGCTTACATCTCCAAACTTCTCGACTACTTCGTTTGCAACCATAGGAATTGGCAATGGTAAGCATCCTACCATCCCAAAACATCAATATCATAAGAATATTTTAATAATGAATAAAATAGCACCATATGTATGATATATTCCTGCATTTTAATAGCACTTGGTTTGCAGGACTTGTAACCCTTGTTCCATATAAATGAATTTGACATTGTAAAACAAGCCTTGATTGCGCTTCTGTACAGGGAGATATTACACTCTGGTTGTGGTAGCAAATGAAAGACGGTGGAAAAGATTTCGCGACAGGCTCAAAGTAGTCGCTGACTCTTTCAAGATACTTGATATCTAAATAAGAGTGCTTGCATTGGTCTGTATATAGTACACTTGGTAGAAAATTTTTTGTTATCATCACCTCATCTTTCCTTCTTTATTTTCACATCCCTTGACACAGATTGTATCATCCTTCTTGTGTTGCTGCCACATTTATGCATCTGGGAATATCACATTACATGGTTTATCTCGTCCCTTACTAGTGTCATATAAAATGATTTTCATGGACATGATTTGAAATTCTTAAAAAAAAGGAGACACTTAAAATTTTAAAGAAAAAAGGAATGAAAATACTCTATTTTTGAGACAGGACGAGATGAGATGAAACTTGAGTGAGCACGGATCGATTTTAAACAAAGAACTAGTCATGTCCCATAATACTTTCAGGATGGATTATCAAATTAATATTGGATATTTTTTGAAATGAAAAGTTCAGAAAGGGATTCGGAATAACACTATTAAGTTAATATCGAATATTTTTTAGAATGAAAAATTCAATCATCGTGATTCCCGTGGTGTCATGGACGCCCCTGTCAATTTATACCGAAAGCAAGTAACAATAGTCATAGTACTAGTATAACTATAGTACTACATGTAGTCATAATTTATAAATACACTATAATTAGTTCAGTAATAATATAGTCCTACAATATAAGAACATTACTTAGAAATTAAAAAAGAAATCATTTGTAATTAGGAAGGTTATAATTACAATACTAACTTTCTAGTTGTGATTTCTTAGATTAATTAATAAAATGTTTAGACGTAATCAATAAAATTATAATCAAAATTAGGTTTATGTTCATTGCACTTAAACTTATAATTAACTGGATATATATTAATCTAAGTAAAATGTTTAGACGTATCAACTAAAATTAATAACAAAAATTAGGTTTATGTTTCATTGCACTTAAACTTATAATTAACACCTGGCCCCCACTATCCACCATATCCCCACCCCCTAAAACTATATTACCCACCCCCACTATACCTATATATCCCCCCCATTATTATATATACCTATACACATTATATTATATTACACACTATTATATATATATATTATATATAATATATATATAGTTTAAATTTATCAATGTTTAATAATTAATTTATTATTATTAATTATACATGTCTGATAAAGTTGATAATATATTTATAGCTCAAACACATATGGCATTGGAATTAGGTTGCAAAGTTCAAAATAAGAGTGGACTGTTAATTTTGGATTGGGTCGATTCAGATTTTCAACTCGAACAGAAACAGTTGAGATTAGAGCTACACATGACCCGTTATAACCCGATCCAACCCGAGCGATCTAATTCAACCCAATCCAACCCGGCGAGTTTAAAAATATAATGGATTGGATTGGGTGGGTCATTTTTATAATTCATAGATTGGGTTGGGTCACGGGTTCATTAGATAAACCCGCAGACCCTACCCAACTCCTAAATAAATTATGAATTATTTAGTTAATTTGATTTAATTTGTAATTTTGAATATAAATATTAAATTAATTACATATTTAGTAGATATTACCTTTGTAATTGGAGTATAGTGTAGCTTAAAATATATTATATAATTATGTTACTAAGTATTTTTAATTTTGCTGGTTCTCTTTTTTATTAGAAAATTTGATTTTTCATTATTGATGATGATGATAGCGGCGACGATGATGATGTTAAGAAATTTAATTTTAATATTGTCATTGGAATATATTTGTAGTTTTGTGAAAATTATTATATAATTAAGCTTTTAAGTATATTTAATTTTTTTAGTAATCCTCTTAAGCAGTTTTATTTTATTTAAAAATGTTTTTATTATTTTCATGTATTTGACCCTTAACTTATGTTGAACCAGTACGCAACCCAATTGGTGCGGTGAGCATGGAACACACCTTCAAACCCTAAATATTCCATAGTTTTTCTCGATTCCTATGGCTAACGACTCTACTGAACGCCTTAACATGGAAGGTCAAGACAACACCCATGGCGAGGCCAACCAACAACCTGAACGCCTTAACATGGAAGGTCAAGACAACACCCATGGCGAGGCCAACCAACAACCCACATTCGCCCCTCCTCCAGCTACCAATCCCCAGGTAGCGGCTACTTTGGCCTAAGCTTATTCTCAGTTCACTACCATGTTGAAACGCATCCTGGAGGCCCCACACCTTAGTGGCGAACTGATCCCACTCACTAGACCAACAGACCTTCCCCACCAAGAATACAACATCCCTCTTACTTCGCCTAGGTAGCGAAGTCATTCAATATCTAATCGATATAATGAGGCAGAGTCAGAGGTGGACCCCAGTGTGACTATTCCCGACAACCAAGAACTGAGTCACACCCAGCCAATTTTGGATGGTACAAATCTCTGGAATGTTGTCAAAGAACTAGTTCGAGTATGTAGAGAGACAAGAAAAGCAGGGGATTATGGTCTCCGATAGGATTCCTCATTGTCAGTTGATATCTTGAGTGCAGATTTCCCACCAAAATTGAAGCTTCCTACTTCCAATCATATGAAGGGTCTACCGATCCTTGAAGCCACATGGCGACCTCCGAACTATGATGTATCTTCAAACCAACTCGAAAGATTCTGATTGTAAAGTCTTCCCAACTACCTTAAAAGAAGCAGCTCAAGAATGGTACCAAACACTCAAAACAGGATTCATTCATTCCTTTTCCCAAATAGCCACAACGTTCCAAGCTCGTTTCATAACATGTGTGCCATCCAAAAAAATATTATCTAACTTGGTAGAATTAAAGAGGGAGGAGGGAGAGACCCTAAGGCATTATGTCTCAGAATTTCAAAGAATAGCGATGCAAGTGGAGAACTTGAATGATGAGGTGGCGATTAGTTCTATGGCAAAGAATTGCAGGTACATCAAACTGTTTGAAAGTTTAAGTATTGACCCTCCCCTAACTTTCGCCGAACTCACGGCGCAAGCTCACAAATACACAAAATTGGACAAAGCTATGAGGCTCAGCAACGTAGATCGCCCAAGGAAGAGAAGTATAGACACCAAAGACATTCCTCCCTAGTAAGGAGACGATCGCCCCAAAGAAGATCGCCCATCTGGCTCTTACGAACCAGTTACTCTGTTAGAACCCCATATTCAAAAGAGGACAGACCGCAACAAGTCTAGAAATTAACCCCCTTTGAACAGACCGCCCTCGAAAATATTGTCTTGGGTGAGAGGACAAGGTAATCAAATTCAGTTCTATTACCCTAGAAAGATAAAGACACCTTGGGCCACCAAGATAAGAGCAAGTATTGTGAGTTCCATAAAGATGTAGGTCACGAGACCGAGGCCTGCTAGCAACTAAAGAAGGCGATTGAACGCATTGTGCAAAGAGGCAAACTGAAACAATTTGTTGGGACAGCTCAGAGGGAAAGTGAGCAGAAGGACAAGCAGGTGAAAAAGTGCCACACATTGGGCACAATCCATACTATATTTGGTGGTTCGTTAGCGGAGGACAATAACTCAGCTAGAAAAAGGAGAGCCAAGGAAATCTATTTCATTCTAGCCTAGCAGAGGCTGAACACTAGACCGCCCATATCATTCTCTAAAGTCGATGGCGAGCTTGTACATGCCCCACACAATGATGTCCTAGTGATTGAGGGGTTTCAAAAAACTTTCTAATGAAGAGAATCTTAGTAGATGAAGGTAGTGCTGTGAACTTGTTGACTATGAAAGTATTCAATGCTCTGAAACTAGACCAGGCAAAGCTTAAACTTGTCTGAACCCCTTTAGTCGGCCTCGCAGGAAAACCTATAAAAGTGTCTGGGTCCATAGACATTACCTTAGAGCTCGAAGCCAAAATCTGATTAAGGAAGCTTAAGTTGGAGTTCATGGTAGCAGATATTCACTTTCCATATAGTGCCATATTGGGCAGGCCAGCCCTATATGAACTGAAACCGGCCACATGCATCAAGTATCTCACCATGAAGTTTTACTCCGATAAGGGCGACATTGTTACAGTAGGGGAGACCAGAAAGTAGCTCGGGAAGCATACATGATAGCACTGAAAGGGTTACAGCTTGCCCTGCCAATCATGTGGATGCTAGAAGCAGAACCACCCACAAAATCAACTGACCACTAACCCTTTGGCATTCCTAAACATAATGTAGATTTGATAACCTCGCAAAGCGGGCAAATCTTGTTATGTTATTTCGATATAAATTGCATGAATGCATGATTGTTTTTATACATTTTACGTTTGTTTGTGTTGTTTTGTTTTAAAGTGAATTGCAGGAACAAAGTTGGAGCAAAGACTTGTTCTATACAAAAATAGGGTCAAAACAAGTTAAAAAGATGGAAAGGAACAAAGTTGGAGCAAGACTTGTTCTATAACAAAAATAGGGTCAAAAACCAAAACAAGTTAAAAAGATGGAAGAATTCCTTGATCCAGCCTTCGCGCGTTCAAGCAAGTCGCAACAAAGAAAAATGCCCACGTCGCGAGCAATACCAATTGTCGCGCACGCAAGCTACAACCAGAATAGCTAGTCGCGAGCGCGACATTTATATACGCGGGCGCGACAAGCAGATCTGAGTGTCAGAAGCAATTGGACCAGACGACGCGAGCGCGATATTCATATACGCGGGGGCGAGAAAGCACCTTTGAGAGGCAGAAAGTTTGCCAGCGAAATACGCGAGCGCGACTCGCGAGCGCGAAAAGAACTTTTGAGAGGCAGAAGCACTTGGAGCCGAAGTCGCGAGCGCGACCTTCATCAGCGCGAGCGCGAATCGAGATTACCAAGAGACGTGATTGCTGCCTTTTCATTAGAGAATCATATCTTTTCATGCAAGAGTCGGGACTCCTCCCAAGAGAAGTCATAAACCAAATGACTTCAATTCTCCTTCAATTCTACAAATTTTACCAAAACCTGAAACCACAACACTACACAAAGGTAAGAAAACTATTTTAACAAAATAGAGACACAAAATATAATAATCTTTCAGTCCCCGGCAACGGTGCAAAAAATTTGATGTTTGTCGGTTCCACCAAATTTAAATTACTGAATTTAACTGTAGAAGTGGTGAATTCAGGTCGAACCTTAGAGACTGAAATCTTAATGGTGTGACGCCTCCGGAGGCTTGAGTTGAATTAACTTCTTTCTCCTTGTTTTTTATAGACTTGTTTGTATGTTGGTCTTCATAAATTCCTTTCTATACAAAGCAAAACAATTCT